GTCACGTGACCCCCACTGTCGAAACAATATTTTTCTTTATTCCTTTGGCCGTAGCCTCGTGGAAAGGGTTATCCTTTGCAATATATATTACTTCCTTTTTTATTCTTTTTTTTTTTTTTTTTAAAAGTTTTTGAAACTTCTTTTTAATTAAACTTACAGAAAGTTTAAATCATAATTTGATTGTGTATATAGTTATTAGTAGTTTTTATGTGAATAATATGCCACATAAATTAATAAATTAACAAGATGGTGTGAATACCTTTTGCCTTAAGGAACTGAATAAATAACAAAATCTTTCAAAATACAATAAGCCTAATTCTAGTGTTTCTGTTTCAGGAGTGCTCGTGGTTTCATGCATATGAAGATTGTTTGTAATGATGGAAAGTTTATTCTTGGTCAGTTCAGCAAGCCTTTTGACAGCATCCCTGAAATTATTAGCTACTACTCATTACATAAACTACCCATTAAAGGTGCAGAATACATGTCTCTTCGTCATCCTGTCATAGACCAACTTCTGTAGTTATCTCATATAACCAAATATATATTTTTAACTGATTTTTTACCTCCAGTGTATAGCCAATTTTCTTAAGTGTACCTACTGATCCAGTTCATATTGAAACTAGTGTGTTCCATTGAAGACTTTTATATCTTGTCATTGGCCAACTTCTGTAGTTATCTCATATAACCAAATATATATTTTTAACTGATTTATTTACCTCCAGTGTATAGCCAATTTTCTTAAGTGTACCTACTGATCCAGTTCATATTGAAACTAGTGTGTTCCATTGAAGACTTTTATATCTTGTCATTGGCCAACTTCAATAAGTCTTTACCTCCATATGCACATGGCCCTTATTTTTCAAAAAATGAGATAAAATTTATTCCAATGAACAAATCTTCCATTCAGTCTTACAAATTTATCAGATCAGTTTGTCTTCTTTGTTGTTCTTGCAATCTTTCCCAGGAAATTATACATCTTGTTTCATGCCTTTTGGAGTCAGGTTTTCTAATGAACAGTAGTTGCAACATTACTTTATGTTCTATAGATTCTACAGCTTTTAAGAACTTGTTTCCTTGTGTGATAAATAAAAAGCGTCATTGTTCTTCTATCTTATTGTGGTCCAACTTTTTATACATCTAGGATTCTTGCTCAAAGGTACCAAGTTCTCCAACTTCACATCTGAAAACTTTTTCTAGTTCTCTGCTATATTTTTTGAAAGAAAAAAGCCCTAGATGTAATGGATCGTGTTATGATCTGTAATATTCTAACTTATTCTGCTCCTAAAATCTTGTTCTATGATACAAGCAAGGGCATATTAATCTAATGAACAGCTTTCAGGATACTCTCAACCAACTTCTGTTGGTCTTAACACTTTGTGAAGTTTTATGCTTCTTCTAAAACACAGGAGTAATATAATATATGGACATAGTTCTCATGATATTTATAAACATTTTCTAATGAAACAAAAATATTCTGAATCCACTGAAAGACGATATGTTCATTATACTTAATGAAATAAGTAGCTGCATTGTTTTCAAGGAAAGCCCATTATAAGCAGGAAAATTGATAGAAGTTAAGTTTTCAGAAAAGCCCACCATACCTAAGAAAATGCACATAAGTTCAGTTTTCAGGAAAGCCCACCATATCAAGAAAAATGGATAGAAAGACCATAATACCTAGGAAAATGTGTAGAAGTCCAGTTTAAGGGAATGTTTACCATACCCAGGTAAATAGACAGAAGTCCAGTTTTTAGGGAATGCTTATCATATCCCAAAAAAAAGATAGAAGTCCAGTTTTCAGAGAATGCTTATCATACCCAGGACAATGGATAATCTAATTTTCAGGGAATACTTATCATACCCAGGAAAATGGATAATCTAATTTTCAGGGAATACTTATCATACTCAGGTAAATGGACAGAAGTCCAGTAAACGTAAACATAAGCAAAAGATGAAAAATAAGAGTTTTTATTGTGTTATTCACAATATCTGTTTCACATTTGTATTAGTTAATGAGAAAATACATACATTTGGATTATTAAACTGAAAATAACATAACTTAAGTATCTAAATTGGAAGGAGTTTCATTTATACACTCAAGTGTGTGTATGTGAATCTGTACAAATATTGATTAATTATCTTTTTTCTTATATGATTTTCTAACAAAAATGAAAGCTAATAGGTATTTTGTAACAGAAATTTGGTGATAAAAAAAGGACCAAAATATATGTTATAAAGTAATTCTGAGAGCATCGTGCACACCATGTTATGTAAGGCAGTCTTTCTTTTTTTGTATCATTATGTAAATAGACTGTTGACTGTATGAATGTTAATTATTGTCCATGAATAGATATGAGATAGTGTTTCTGTATACCATTAATTAAATGGTTAATGACTGTTTAAGTGAACAGTGACATATGGTTGTCAGCTTTTTTAATTAATTACCTTTAAATTATTAATGTATGTAATAAAGGTAAACTGTTACAGAAAGTTCTAGAGCTTAACATTTTAAAGAAGTTTCAACTTTTGATTACCTTATTTGGTTGTGGTTAGATATTTGTTTTGATCTTTATGAGACATCACCAAAAGCTAGTTTTTAATAGTTTAACATTTGTTGAAACCTGCCACTAGTCTCCCTTACATAACAATTAATGCATGTGTGCTTACCTTAAACAAACTATTTCTGTTGTTATTGATTATGATTAAATTTTTTATATTTTTGTTGTATTATTAATGTTCTTCCAAAATTTTTGTTTTCATTATTGAAAAGTGGATTTATTGTTTATTACTATTCGAAAACCTTTAAAGAATAACCATAGAAGTTTAAGACTTCACCAAGGTATATTATCCAACAGCAGGATCCTATTTTTGATTAACTTATTAAAGCTTTTGATTTGCCACAATAATATTTATCAGTTACAATCCTGATGACTTTTCTAGACTAAACTTTATAGGTGTTTATGTTTTAAATGTATTTTAAGTGGTTCTGTTAATTTTAAACATGTTTTGGTACATACACTAAGAGTGTATTATGTATTCTAAAATTATACTGAATCAATTTAACTAACTAACAAAGGATTTAAATGCTTAATTTACTTGATACAATGTTTTTTGTGATGATGGATGATGTATTTTAAGTGGTTCTGTTAATTTTAAACATGTTTTGGTACATACAGTAAGAGTGTATTATGTATTCTAAAATTATACTGAATCAATTTAACTATAACTAACAAAGGATTTAAATGCTTAATTTACTTGATACAATGTTTTTTGTGATGATGGATGATGTAGTTTAAGAATGTGTGGTACATCTTTTATACAAAACATTACTTTATATTTGTTTATTGTAGTTTTTAATAAAGAATCTTTGTTGTAATAATATTAGAAAATATAATCATATTGTTGTATTTAAAGTTTAAACAGAAAAGGAAATCACTGGTCTCCAAAAAAACTATTATTTGGTTTTATTCAAAAATATTTAAAAAAAAAGATATTTTTAGCTCAGAAAGAACAGGGTTGGATAGCTGTTTGGTCAGATTTACTGTGTTCATCATTATAACAAATGAATCTAGAGAGTTTTAACATATTTAATGATATGATATAATTACTATTATATGTGTTTTAAAAATGTACATATGATTTAAATTCTACTGGATGGAGCTGTGACTCATGAGACAAAATGCTTCATCTGTCCACTGTTAAACCTAGCTTAGGAGTTAGGATATAGTAACAGAACAAGTTTTGAGGCAGTAGTCACATTTTACTCATGGTAGCTTGACATATCTCAAATCCTACAAACAACTTTTGTAGATGGAAATAAAGGTTTTAGCCATATTGTTAGCATATTAATCCAGGTTTGGTTTAACTTGAATCTTGATATGTACTTCAAAACACCTTTGTGACCAAAATCTGAATTTTACAGAAGCTGTATATTACAAGGTATATCTACATACTTTCACTGTTAATGTCATTGAAAACTAATGTCTTACTCACTAATTTTATGCCAGCCAAACTGTTTTAACAGAGATGTTTCATATTTAGGCTGCTGTTGCCAACAGCTATACTACCTCTAAATTAATATAAAATAAAATTTAAGGACAAAAAAGAGACCTATTGGTACCTCAAAACTAACAGAAAAAAGTAACTATAATATATGTTACTTTCACCTTGGTTATAGAAGGAATTAACTTGTACTGTTGTAGTTGTACTATAAAAACTATAGACTTTAATAATAATTGAGTACTTATTGTTTACATTGCATATGTATCAATTTATTATGGTAACGGATATTAATTTCACTGATGAAATAATATTCTACTGTATTATAAAGTCATATTTCTAGTCAATACAGAATGAGTAATTAATCTTTCCCACCACCGTTCATTATTTTACTTCTAATTTATCTGGTTAGTTGTTCAATAATTTTAACGTTACACTCAAAATTAGATGAAAAAGGCAAATTTAAAATGCTTAAAGCTAGCTTTGTGAATTAAATATTAAGGCCTCTGTTTTATTCTGATGACCCCTCGTGGTTCAACAGTAAATCTGAGGGCTTATCATTCTAAAAGTCAAGTTTGGATAACCACAGTTGGCAGATTTAACGCTTTGTATAGCTCTGCGGACTCACATTACAATGCCCGTAGTGGGCAGAGCACAGATAGCCCATGGTGCAGCTTTGTACTTAATTATAAACAAAAATGTTGTGATAAGTAAGGCTACCTTGATGTAGAAAAATACTTTTTTGTTGTTGTTTTTTGTGCCATCATTCAGACATAACTTTAGCTGCCTTTCAAATTGCTTTATAATTTTATGAGTCATTTTGATTTTACTTTAATATAAACATTTTATTATGTGCTTATTTAATAATTCTTTTTAACTTTATTTTGTTAGTTCATAAGGAAGTGTTTGTACCATTTAAATAAAAGAATAAATTTACAATAAAAAATGAAAATAAAAACTTGTGATGATATGGGCTATTTTTATACATTTTTGTGTCATGGTCTTGGATTTTATATAAATGTTGCTCAAATACACTATCTGTAATTGTTCAATATTTTCACTGTTTGTAGGAAATATTGAAAATAATTTATTATAACTGAAAAATACTTAATAGAACTCACCCAGAAAATTTCTAAGAAATAGATACTATGAGATTAAATCTGGAAGTAATTTGCATAAAATATAGCTTAAACAATTGCATGGCTGATCTCATAAAATCTACAAACATCCAATGAAAAGTCAACAGATTATCATTCTATTATAACACTGCATGGGGAGCTAGACATAAATTACATAAATATGTATGTTATATTATATTATAGTAAAATACTGTACTATATACATGCAGAGTAGTTATTAATCGTTAAATTATATTACTAATTTAAACAACTCTGTACAACAATAGCATATTAGCTATTTCAATCATTGGCTATTATATACGTATATTTATGCACTATTGAAATAAGGTGTTAGCAATCACCATTCTTCTGGGGGTGCTCTTCCATAAATAACTTGCGTACAATTTCAGCGTTGATAGCAGTGTCATAATGATTATGTATTAAAGCTAGAGGACTCGCTCTTTCTTCGGGGACCCGGCATGGGCACCTCGCTTGCAATCTGAGGGCCGCGGGTTCGAATCCCCATCAAACCAAACATGCTCGCCCTGTCAGCCGTGGGGGCGTTATATAGTGACGGTCAATCCCACTATTCGTTGGTAAAAGAGTAACCCGAGAGTTGACGGTGGGTGGTGATGATTAGTTGCCTTCCCTCGTGTAGCTTTGCGCGAAATAAAAAAAAACTTTCTTCGGGTTGTGTTCACCGTACGTAATTATTCAACCGGCGGAGAGCAAATGCCGAACGTTCGTGTGAGCATGAACTTAGTGGCAGTGTGGCAACGAGTTTCAGTAACATAAAGATAATTGGTACACTGAAGCACGATTTTAAGCAGTCAGCCAGTATCTGGGGTCTGTCCTGGAAAGGTATAGAAAACCATCTTGTCTATCATAGATGAAGTTCTTCATCAAAAATACCAGAATCTTCCCTGTAAAAATCTATAGCTTGTCTGATATCAGAGATAGAAAACAAAACTTTTGTGTGAGTTTTGATAGCATAATTTCTGAATTGATGTTACTTGTGCATCAATGTTGTCAAGAAAAGGAATGGTTATTATTTCCTTAAAGTAATCTTCCACGGAACTATACTCTGCATTTGCACGTTGGGCTTGTCGTTATCTAACTCGTGGCATGATAACATTAATATCAGCTTTGTTTGCAATACTACTGCTGTGCTTGAAGATACGATGTGAATTACCATCTACGTTCACTCCTAGTAAAATCAGTTGTTTACAGCATTATTCTATAAGGGAAACACCAGAAACAATGTCTTCGCTCGGACCTTGCAAATTTACAGAAGCATCTTTCAAATAGTAAAGTTGCTGTTATACATAAATGGATTCCAGTATTTTTAGATAAGCCACAGCATTTTTCTTATCTTCAGCAGCCCAATTGTCATTAAACATTTGAAAATTATCACCTCCATATACAATAACCTCACACGTGAAATAAGAATGGATGACATAAACGGAACCTTTCCCAACTTTTAATATTCTCAACCCAGCGTGTAATGCACACATTGAGTTGTGGAAGACATGATAAAGCTGCTTCATTCTGGATGCCCTTTTGATAGATTGCCTTCAATAGTACCCCACGTTTAGTTGATTATTTAATCCAAATAGTTATTCTTTTAACTTGATCAATACAATTTCGTATTGGTGGAACTGAACATGATTTATAATAGCAAGATTAAGTGAGTGACTCGCGCAATGAGATTATAAGGCCTTGCTTTGCATATCTCGAATTTGTTTTTGGACACCAGATCTTTCTCCAGCCATGGTGGATGCTCCATCATATCCTTGACCACGTAATTCATTTAGAGATAATCCAACATCATTCAATATCTTTGTAATTGCACATACAATACCTGTTGCTCTGTAGCTTAACAAAGCCAATACATTCTTCCCTAATTTCACAGCTGTCATCTACAAAGCGGAGACATACTGGTAAATATTTCACATTGTGAAAATACACTTCATCAGCAAGGACAGAGTAGAAGGATCTGGCCTACAAAACCTGACAGTAGCAATATGGCTTTAGACTTCCAATTACAAAGTGTCAACAGATGCCATTGCATGCGACTATTTCAAGCAAGAAAAAAGCTAATGCTTCATCAGAAGAATGCAGACTATGTAGAAATCTTTAAATACCATAAACAGCTGTGCTATAACTGTATAAGCATAGCTAGTTAAATCACAAAAATAGTGGGTTCAGTTGCCCCCACCCCTAGTACGTGCATGAACTCATGAGAATATGCCAAGTAAATCTGTAATTAAACAACATTTAGTGGAATATACTTTAAAGGTAAACTACTTGAAAGTGCATCAGTTAAAGAATAACCTGTTATGAAGTTATTTTCAAAAGTGCATCAGTTAAAAAATAACCTGTTATAAAGTTATTTTTAATCATATACGTGTATGTGATTGTCACTAAGTAAATATTTTTAAAATATCAAGCTTCACTTCAACATAAACCACTTTGAACTTTTGTGTGACACACGTTTTTAAAGTACATACAGTTGTAATTGACATTTTCCACCAGTTGGAGGACATGTGAACAAGGGGATTTGTTCAACATCGAAAGAAGACCATAGTCTGAAAGAGTAGTAATGTTTTGTAGAAGTCATCTCCTGGATGTCAGCCTTTCACCACTAATGTAAAGGGCCATGTCTACAATCTCAATCCATCCACAAGTTCTGGAAGGTATTTGTATTTATGATAAATCTACTTGGGATATCTACTGCCATCCATAATTTTGAACTGCTGACCAATCAGTAGCACTCACCATCCATGTTAAGGGACTGACTGTTACTCATATAATGCACCCACAGCTTAAAGGCTGTAGAATATTTTGTGTTATCACATAGATTGTAACGTGGCTCGCCAGCTCCAAAATCCAGAACTTTGCCACAATAAGGAGAACCACAAAATGGGGCCCCCAGAGCAGCTGACAAAG